CCCCCCGCTGGCAGCAGCCCGGAGCCCCCCTGCCTGCCCAGCCGCTGCCCGCTGCCCTCCTTGCCGTAGCCCTGCAGCCCCCGGGCGATGCCCAGCAGCACGCTCAGCTCCTCGCTGCGCCTCCGCTTCGCCCCTGCCCTCCAGCAGGGACCCGAATCCTCGGCCACCGCTCGCCAGCTGGGCTTCAGCAGGGTCCCTTCCCCGGGGTCCGCCGGCTCCTGCCGCTGGCTGGGGGGGAAGCAGGCCCCCAGGCTGAGGAGGAAGAGGCAGGACAGGGAGTAGGGTGCTCTCATCTGGGGGAGGCAGAGGAAGGGAGAGATGTGTTGGTAAACGGCAGAGCATCCTTGGGCAGAGCAGTGGTCAGGATGTGTGGCTGCAGAGGGGGTGTCCTCGGCCAGCCTGTGTTCCCCATCCCTGCTCCAGCACCCACAAACCAGCCCTGCCACCCCTACACCCTGCAAGACAAACCCTCCAGCACCCACAAACCAGCCCTGTCACCCCTACACCTTGCGAGATAACCCCTCCAGCACCCACAAACCAGCCCTGTCACCCCTACACCCTGCGAGACAACCCCTCCAGCACCCACAAACCTGCCACCCCTACACCCTGTGAGACAACCCCTCCAGCACCCACAATCCAGCCCTGCCACCCCTACACCCTGTGAGAAAACCCCTCCAGCACCCACAGCTCCTCCTGCAGCCTCTGCCTCCTGCAGTGGTGGTGCTGCTGCTGGTGGTGGTGGTGGTGGGGGGTCCATCTCTCCCCTGATGCCTTCAGACCTGCCCCCCTTCATCTTCAGCCGCTCGCTGCTCACAAATTATAGCCTTGCAGCTACTCCCCCCCTCCCCTTGTTCGCAGCCGAGAGCCGAGCTCTGCGCGGACGGGGGTGGCTGAGTGGGCTATTAGCCAGGCTATTAGCCAGGCGGGCTGATGGGCTCCGGAGCCGCCTGCTCCTCTTAGAGGCGCTGCGGGGAGGATTTAAGTGCCTTCGCCTCAGCCGGCCTCATCTTCCCCCCGCGCAGGTCCTGCCCGCAGCGCCCGGCTAATGCCAGGGGGGAGGAAGGTGCTTGACATCCCCCTGCTTTATGGGGCTCGGCGGTGACCCCCCCGGCAGCAGGGGCTGCCCAGCAGAGCAGGAGGGAGCGTGGTCCTGGGCTGCAGGAGAAGATGCTGCTGGCACCTGGGGTGACCTTGAGTGCAGGCAGGGCTGCTCTGCCTCCCCTTCCTCCTCCCACAAAGGCTCAGGAAGGGGAAATGGGTTTTTTTATTATTATTATTATTACTATTTTTTGCTGGAGGTGTCACCTTAAAAGTCACTGCTGGTGATGGTAGCTGGGTGTCTGCCCCACGCTTGCAGGCTGGGGAGCTGCTGAGGATGCTCCTGAGCTGGACCCAGCTGAGCCCATGCCCTCCCCACCACCCCCCCTGCCCGTGGGCTTCACTTTGGGGTGCTCCCTGCCTCGTTCACACCTTCTCCCTCTTCTGTGCTCTCCCCTTTTGCACCCAGTTACCCACAGTGAAGCCAAATCTCTGGGTGCACCCAAAGCGGGGAGCACCCTCCCAGCACCAAAAATCAGGGCTTCCGAGTCCCGTAGTGGGGGTGTCAGGGGGTGCCCAGCCCTGCCTGTTGCCCCCAGCTGCCCCCCCCCATCCTCTCCCTCCTCCCCACCTGCGCTGCCCGAGGGCACAAAGCAGGGGAGAGCGGACAGACAGACGGATGGTCCACGGCCACTCACCTCTGCGTCTCCAGTGATGCCCCGGTGCCTCCTCCCCTGGCCCCGCTCTGTGCCGCCCTGTGCCCAGACTGAGCCCTCCAGCCCTCCTCACCTGCCATTAAATACCCGCCGGCGCTAATTGCCGTGTCACCCCGGAGCGCGTGGCCGGCTGGCAGGGCTGTGGCCACCCCGATGCTGGTGGGGATGGGGGGGGGGGTTGGTCGAGCTGCCGCAATGGGAGCGCGGCATCACCGCTGATTAACGCGCCTCCTTCGTTTGCTGCCTCATTTGGAGGAGAGGCTGGGTGCTCTCCCCGCTGGAGGTGGCCTTGGCACCGGCAGCCGGTGTCAGGGTCTCGTGTCCCCCACCCTCTTGGTGCTGGGTGGCTGTTGGGGGTCCCCAGATGTGTGTACAAGTGGGGGGGGTGCCCAGAGACCCCTGCACCCCCAGACCTGCTCAGGGACTGGCCCCCCATGGACAAGCCCAAGTGCATCCCCCGTCCTTGGCCGGTGAACACAGCTATTGGAGCTAAAGAGTGGTCCCCAACGCCTGGCACTTGTCCATCCCCTCCCGGGTCCCTCCTGTCCTGGGCAGAGCAGGGTGTGGGGTGGGCAGCACCCCGCTGCTCAGCGGGAAGGGGCTGGGGGCTCCACTCTGTCCTGGCCCCAGGGCCACCCCAAGGTCCTGCAGTGCCAGGCTTTGGGCTGCAGCCCCTGTGAAGCCTCCACTGCCCGGTTCCTGTCCCCTCCAGGTCTCCCTGGCAGTTTTGGGCAGGCTGAGCCAGGGATGTGCTGGTTCCCAGGGATGCCACACTATGAGGTGGTGGAGTCTCCTTCTCTGGAGACATTCAAAAACTGCCTGGACAAGATCCTGTGCAACCTGCTCTAGGTAGACCCACTCTGTTGGGGGGGTTGGACTTGATGATCTCCAGAGGTCCCTTCCAACCTCATAAGATTCTATGATTCTACGATTCTATGAGCCTGGTGCAGGGAAGGAGCCCTCACCCCCATCCCGGCGGGAGCTGCGATAATCTGGTGCATCCCTTCGCCGTCACCACGGCAGGTTCCTCCGTCGATGTCCCTGCACCACACCACAGCCACGGCCACCGACACGCCGGGTAACGATGAGTTCCTTTTATTAAGGAGTTTAGAAAGTCCACATGTACAGCGTTGGACACCACTCACACACGACCTAGACTTCACGGCACCGCTACACACCACGACCCGACCCAGGGCTTCACCAAAAAGGTACGTACGTGGCCAGGTCCTGGCCACCCCTGGCCACCCCTCTCCAGGGAGGTGTCACCACGGAGGGGTTTAGCCTAATCTGGGGCTACGGAGCGACGCGTGCGCTCCCGGGATTAATCCTGGGAAATCCTGCCTCTCGGCGTGGATTCAATACCTCTTGTGCAAGTCAAAGTCATTGGGGGCCCTGGGTGACACAGGCAGTTACACGAGGGTGTGCTACCAACAAACTCCATGTACAATGTCCCCTCCCCACCATGGAAAAACACCAGTGGAGGGGTCCAGGGAGGGGACAAGCCTTCCTGCCCTGGGGACGTGGCTCCGTGTGCCGCCTTGTTCTGAAGAACAAGCCCTAGAAAACTCAGCTACAGCTAATCCACTGAAATAAATGAACAGAAAGTAAAGATGGGAATTGTGCTCCTCATCTGTGTGGGACCCTTTCTGGAAGGATCCACTGAGGTGCAGGGAGTCCCTTGGAAGCTGCTGGTGGCTCCTGCTCTCGTGCTGGCTGGGAAAAGCCACCACCAGGCTCCCCCAAATCCCATGGCTTGAGGAAGCCAGTCCGGCCGGCAGGATTGGTGAGGACAGAACCTGTCCTCTGAGCTTGTCCTCACCCGAGGGCTCTGAGGAACATCTCTGGCAGAAGGGAAAGGTGTGGTGTCCCCCAATCCATCATTTGTCCCTGACTCCCATCAGGACAGACAAACAGGGACGCAGCCAGCACAGGATCCAAGGTGGGGAGGGCTTAAAAAAAAAGGAGAAGCACGGAGGGAAGTACCAATCTGCCACCACCAGGAAGATGAGCCTTTGATCTCCCAAGGCCTTAAGCCCCATGGAAATGGGGGTGGTGGGAGCTTCCCTCCCTTCCTTGGGCAGTCTGTCCATCCAACGGTGTCTGCTGGGGCCAGGGCCCGACGTGAGGCTTTGCTCCCCATTGCTGCTGCAGCACTGGCAGAAAATCACATAAAGGGTGGTGGGGTCCCAGCTGTCCCCCTCTCCTCCCTTTTTTGGGGGCAAAAATCCCCCCATTTAAGTCATTCCAGGGAACCAAAGGGAGAAGTCACCCCACATTCCGTGGCTGCTCCTCTTTGGGTCAGCCAGCACGAGGCATTGCTTGCCGCCCGGTTATCAGGGCCCTGCAGATGCTAAGCCCCACTCGGGGCTTCTTTTTGCAAAACCTTAATGGGATTTGAAGAAATGAAAGGCTTTGAATATCTGCAGGTGCCGAGCCAGAGCGCGGCTCATCCTGGGTGAAAATGAATTCCAGTCCCTGGGCCCAGAGCGAGCGGAGGGGGCTCATGCGGGGGGCACGTGGGCATGCTGTCCAACGTCCAGGGTTTGGGGAAAGGTCATAACTTTGGGAAGATGAAAGTCCGATGTGAGTCCGGGCAGGTCTGGTTGGGAGGGAGGAGCCGTGAAACACGGGTTGGGAATCAAGCCTTCATTGCCTCCTCCTCCTCGCCGTGCTCCCTGTTTCCCCAGCGCTGGCAAAACACCTCTGTGCCGTGCTCAGGTCTGGGTGTGCGTCCTTGGAACTCCATGATGGCTTGCTTTGGGGTGCCCCAACCCAACCAGGAGGCTCCAGGAGCCAGGACAGGGACAGCAGGGACAAAGGAGTTCATTGTTGCCCCTTTCAAGAGAGCGTTTTGCAGGCTGGAGAAGGACTCACTGGCCTGGTCAGATGTTTGCATGGGCTGTAACCTTGTTGAGCACCCTCCATCCCCAGTAGCACTGTGGGGTGAGCTGGAGCCATGGAGCAGCAGCCCCATCCCTGTGCCAGGGGCTCTGCAGGGCTCGGGGGCTCCCGAGGGCGAGTGTCTGCCAGTCCTTTGCCAGCTCAGCCAGACCACAGCCAGGTGTCCATGCCCAAAGTGGAGATGAGCAGAGGTGCCCGAGCTCTTGCATCCCTCCCTCCCTCCCTCCCTCCCTCCAGGCAGCCCCTTCCCTTCCCTTCCCTGCCAGACACTGCTGGGCACAGCTCCCCAAATCCCTGCTCCCCAAATCCCTGCTCCTCAAATCCCCACAGCAGTGAGCACCAGCCGTGGGTGATGCTCTGGCCAGGAGACCCATTTTGGCTGCAGGGGAGCCATGGTGGGAGGAGGCAAAGGTCCAGTGATGTCCGTGGGTGCCCAGGAGCTAAATCCACCCTTGCTGGGGGCAGGTGCTCCCCAGGGGCACCTCGAAGATGGGCCAGCCTTCGGGGAGGATGGAGAGGGTGGCAGTTGAGGGGACAGAGCTACGAGGTGGTGGGGAAGGGCAGGGGTCTGGGCATCGGGGGGGGGCTCATGCCATCCAGCTAATTCTCCTCCCGGACAGGCCGGATCTTCATCTCGGTGAACTTGAGGGAGTACTGCCAGCCGGTCCAGGAGGACCACTCGATGCCATCGGCGTAGGAGCTGTGGTGGCCCTTGAGGTACTGCCCGTTGAGGTTGGAGGTGTGGCAGTTGCGGTACCACCAGGCGCCGTGGTAGAAAGCCGCGCAGTTGTTCTCCGAGTGATCGTTGTCCAGGTCCTTGGTGGTGAACTTCATCCCGTTGTGCTTCAGGAAGGAGTCACCTGCCACAGGGGAAAAGGAGCCATGATGGGCCCTTCCTGCCCCTCAGGCTGTCTCCTGTCCCAGGGGGGGCTGCCCTGGGCACCCCAATGAGGCACTTTTGGTGATGTACAGGGCACTTGGGATCACCCACCCTCCAAACACCCAACTGCAGCCCCTCTCCCAGCTCCACCGCTGGAGGAGGCTGCCAAGACCCCAGTGAGGTGGCCCCTTGGTGGCCGTGGGCTCCCCCTGCCCCATGGGACCACGTGCATCCCCCTGCCCTGCCACCCTACCTGCCGTCCCCGAGTAGTCGGCGATGGAGACAGGGTACCCGTCCTCCTCGGGGTCCACGGAGAAGAGCCCCACGCCGAAGCTGCCGTAGTGGGCGAAGGCGGTGCCGTTGTCGAAGTCCTCCAGGTCGATGCGGAGCTCGTAGCTGCCCTGCACCGTCAGCACGTGGATCCTCTTCAGCCCTGCGATGGAGGGAGGGGGTGAGTGCGGGGACCCCAGCAGGGACGGGGTGGCTGGGGGTCCCTGGGGAGGGGGTTGTGGGGTGGGACGGGGAGCCCTCACTCTGTGATTGCTGCACAGCCAAGGGCTTGGGGGAAAACATCTCCATGGCTTCCCTGAGCAGCCACCAGGTCCCCTCCCGCATGTCTGGGCTGTCACTCCTAGGACATGAGTGCTGGCCAAGGAGGGGCTAGGTGTCCCAAAGGAAACCCCAGATGCCCCGGGGTGGGGAGGG